CAGTTGTTGAGCCCCGGCTCTCCGCTGTAGCCGCTGCCGTCGTTTGAGCTTCGGCTCGTTTGCTACAGCAGTAGCTTGGCTGTTGAGCTTCGGCTCGTATGGCAGGTTCGGTTTGTTTGACAGCTTCGACTGTTGAGATTGGCTCTTTTTTTTTTCCTCGCCTTCGTGGAGTTTGATGCTTTTATTGTTTGTATATGTACTTGCAGCGTTTTCTTTTTCCCCCGCGTTTGTTGGGCGAAACTTGGCGTTGACGCTCCGTTGATCATGCAAGTAGCAATATCTCTTGTCGCCGCACTCACCTTCCGGGGTGAGCACCGTACAGCTCTGCTGCTGGCTGTGTGGGTATATGTTCTCTCTACGCGCTCTGTTGCCTCTAGCACTCCAGTCTTAGGCAACGACAACAATACTTCGGTACATGTTCTCCCTACGCGTCCTGTTGCCTCTAGCACTCCGGTCTAAGGCAACGACAACAATACTTCGGTACATGTTCTCCCTACGCGCTCTGTTGCCTCTAGCACTCCGGTCTTAATCAACGACAACAATACTTCGGTACATGTTCTCCCTACGCGCTCTGTTGCCTCTAGCACTCCGGTCTTGGGCAACGACAACAATACTTCGGTACATGTTCTCCCTACGTGCTCTGGTGCCTCTAGCACTCCGGTCTTAATCAACGACAACAATACTTCGGTATATGTTCTCCCTACGCGCTCTGTTGTCTCTAGCACTTCGGTCCTAAGCAACCACAACAATACTTCGCTATATGTTCTCCCTACGCGCTCTCGCACTTCGGTGCTATCCAATGACAGCGGTACTCAGGTACACGCTGTTTCTTCAAGTGTCGATCAGGTCGGCCTTCAGCCAAATGCTCACATCATCGCACTTATCGTCTGCAACCTCTGCACCCTCGCCTCGTCGGATTGCTGCTTCGTCGGAAACTAATCAGTCTGACGTGAGTGCTGTCTTGAGTTGTGGGAACACACCCGTTGGACCTTCGGGGCCAAAGAGTTCTCCTCGTTCGTCGACCACCTCTCGTTCGCTCCTCCGTCGTCTGCAGATAGGATCGGCAGTAGCCATGACCTTTGGACGATTGATGAAGAATTACCCGAATTGATTGCCTCAGGTGCTGCTACGGATACGCTCAATTCGTCTATGCTCGCTTCCGTTGAAGGTCCGCCTTCGACTGTTGCACCGATAGCTAACTTGACTGGTTCCGACCGGCAAGGTTTAGGGTCAAATTCGTCTGGCTTCGAATCGCCTTGTCCCCCTGGTTCCGACCACCGGACATCCTCAGATTCCGCCACGCGACATTTCGACCGTGGGTCGTCTTTACAACCCCCACCTTCTCCGACGCAAGCTCGCACGACGGCACCCACTTCTAGGCTGCTGCGACCGACGTCGACAGTGTTGACACCACCGCTTCGGGAGGACGCCCCCGAAGTGACCTCCGAACAGCCGGCGGTTTCGCGTACCTTGTCACGGGGGAATAGCCAGGAGCGCCATGCTCGGTTCAGTTCTTCAACTAACCCGGCTTTGGCAGCCGTTCTCAGCGAAAGCGACCTGTTGCCGAACACCTTACGAGGCCTGTCTTCAGGTTTAGAATTGGGGTGGCACCCAGCCCAGTGTTGCTGGCCCAATTACAAACAATCCGATCAAGTCGATTCTTCGTCGGTTCCCGCTGTTACAAGGACCACCCCCATGGATGTGCATACTGTCCATCATGACTCCGCATCTTCGGCTGCGACTCCAGCTTCGACTAACAGCACTCAGGGCGCTCCGGCCTCTGTTGCTTCGGCCGTTTTCGACCCGCCTACCGAGTATTGTACTCAGACATGGTTTTCTTTTGGAAGCCGCTCTCCCCTTTTTCCCAATGGACACCGTCGACCTTCACGGTCGATGGCGTTGTTTACTCGTGTGCCGAACAGTTTTTCGCTGCAGAAACAGCCCGTCTTTTGGGAGGTCGCTGTGCTTTGCAGAACATCACGCGAGTGTCAGACCCGGCCTTACACAACAAGTTTGGCCGTGAGGTCCATGGTTTCGAACAATCTGTTTGGGAACAAGAACGCGAAAACATTGTGCTCACCAACTCTTACGCAAAATTTAGTCAAAATTCCGAGTTACGAAATCATCTCCTCGGATCTGGTGACAAAATCCTTGCCGAAGCCAGTCCTTACGACCGTGTTTGGGGCATTGGCCTCCAGGCCGATCATCCTGACGCTGGATGCACATCTAGATGGCGCGGCCTCAACCTGTTAGGCACCGCCCTACAGAACGTGCGCAGTCATTACGACACCGTGCCTCGCCTCCCGAGCGCAGCTTTCGTTTGCCGCCTCCGACTGAGCACGTTCCGACGTCGTCCCTTCATTCTGCGGTGTATGAACTTAACCCTTCCACACACCAGCGCCTTCGGACGGCTTCGTGCCCTCCACCGACCGACCGATTCGCGTCACTTTCGCAATACGCTCCGAATGTCCCGTCGTATCACGACACCGCCGTTTGGGCCGTGTCTTCAGAATACATCCCGTCGTCCTCCTCCTCGCTCCCAGAGCAAGGTCCGGATTTGGTTGGTGGTGTTGTCACCATCGATGACGACTCTTTCACCACCAGAATCCTCCTCCACAGCGGCTCGGCCTCTGTGCAGTTTGGGTGTATCACTCTTTTGGATACGGGTTCTCCGCAGTCTTTTATTAGTGCTTCTGCAGGGAATCCATGAAAGCGGCTTCGGCTGCTTCGACGTTGTCTGAAAAACACACCCAACCTCGCTGTTGGGGTGGTTTTGGGAAAATTTCTCCGCTTCAAACTTCGACCATTGTCCGTTTGGGTGTTCAGTTTCTCCGTAAGAACCTTCCTACTTCCTCTCTTGCTGTTTGGGCATACGTTGTTCCTGACGGCGTCATGCATCATGACGTGCTCCTCGGCAGAGATAGTTGGATGCGGTTTAGTGACCGTTCTTACCGCACTTTGCGTGCGAAACGCAGAGGTGGAAACCGAAGCTTCTAAGTACAGTCTCCGAACAGTTAAGCTTCACAAACCTCAACTGGGGGGCGCACTCAAAATCGAATGGGCGATACATGAAGACCCAAACAAAGGAGACTCTTATCAGCAATAGTCAAAAACTATCCATTGTACATAAATACGACCGAATCTTGAACGGACATCCATGATCACCCGCAGACGGTCGCACTAACCCCACGCATCCCCATCGTCCAGCAATCACACGAGCTCGAAATCCCTCCCCCCAAGGCCATCTCGAAAGTCTTTCCAGTTCGCGGCTGGACAGCTCCTCCCTGTTCCCGTCAGTGTAGCGCACGCGCCAGTAGGGGGAAAGGTAGTCAAACACCTGACCCTGAAGTTGAATTCCTCCGGCTAGCTCCTTCTGGAAGTTGAAACCTATCGGGAAAACGTGCAAGGCTTGGGCGCGGGACAACGGGGTACGGAGCTTGACTGAGTCGGGTGCAGAAGCGTTTGCCAGCTGGGGGAAATACAAGTGCCAGAGAGCAACAAAGCAATCCAACTGAAGGGGTGTGAAGCTGCGTCGCATGGTCTTCCGACAGCCAGTCCAACACTACACCGTTCCCTGACTTCCCCTTGTACTCCCAAATAGTTCGCATGCCGGAAGCTGGTTGAACTCTGCGACAGTCGGCGATGGTGACTAGACCCAAAATCTCTTTAGCTCCTGGAGGCAATTTGAAATCGGCCCCCCACGCATACTGGGCGAACTCTTCGGCTAGCGAGTGTCGGAAAGGAAGTTATCGGAGGTGGAAAGGATTCACATCGGCCGTAGATACCCTTCGGCTGCGCTTCTTTCTACCATGCATCATGACTTCTACACTGAGACCAGGCTGGACCACCCCCGTCACTTTCCACGGTCCTGTGTAGAGATCGTGTTGCAGCTCTCTTCCCCTGTGGTCACGATGTCGACTACTCTCGGACTCGCCCACGAGCACCAGGCTGTCCTTCACGTCGCCCACTCCAGCTGACGACCTCTCGATGGAGGCGTTGGCTTTCGCGCGTGCAGCCACTCGAAGCTCATTCATGCCGTTTCTCGAGGGCGAGTCATACTTCACGGAGATTTTGCTTGCGCCTCTCCACGAAGCTGTCGAGTCCCCGTTCCTGATCCATCTCGTCCGTAAGATGAACTAACGAATCCAGCGACGTGGCTTGCGGCCGAACAGGAACTCGAAGGGGGTCATATTAGATGGGAGCGAGGTGTCTGGTAAGGTGCGTTTGATCCACATCGCAGGCGAAACAAACACATCCCATCGGTCAGACCAGGACCTACACAGCTTAGCCAACATCTCCTGTAGCCATCCCCCCAGTCTCTCTACCGATCCTTGGCCTCGAGGGTGATCAGCAGCACCAAACACGATGTTTGCCCTCAACCATCTGCACAAGTGCTTCACCACCTCTGCGCCAAACTCTGGGCCTCCGTCGCAGCGCACCGTCTTTGGAACTCCGTAAGTTAGACACAGCTCTACCACCACTCGGGCTACGCCTACAGCTTGTTTGGTTTCGAGCGGGAACCCGATGGGGAACTTTGAGGCGCGGTCTACCACGAGCAATATGTAGTTGTTGCCAGTTTGCGATGGTGTGTCGATCTTGAGGATGTCCATTTGCAACTCGTCCCACGGCTCTAGCGGTCTACCTGCCACCATGGCTACTCGTCTGCTGAGCGGTCTCTTGCGTCTACGACAGGCACATGACAAAACATAGTGTCGAGTGTCGTTCGTCATCGTGGGCCAGTGGAAATGATCACGCAGAAGGGACAGCGTTGCTCCTACCCCTGCATGACCATGTAGCGTGTGCACCAACGCAATGATGTCAGCTACCATGGCGACTGGAATAGCAGGCAGTTTTCTCCCCTTCCCACTGTCATACCGAATCACATCATCCGCGCCTAGGCTATACCTGTCGCACCCACTTCCCCCTCGGCTAGAGTCAGCTCCATTGCTCAAAACCTTGCGAACCTGACCCAGATGGGTGTCGTCTCGTTGCCGATGCGCTAGCTCAGACGGCCTTGTGAGTACCCGTGCCGTCAGATCGATGGCTGATGCTCCACCAATCGCCTGGCTCGACGAAGACGTCGGAAACTCCCCCCGTGCGGCCAGCACCTCACCGATGTCGTCGTGGCCAGGTCGAACGGGAGACGGCGGTAGTGTCGATGGCGCCGGCGCCGGAGCGGAGGATTCCACCGTGGTAGGGCCGATGGCCTCTCTGTCCGGGATGGCCTCCAGTACGCTTGTCGGAGGCAGCTGCGCGTCGTCGATCGGTCGTAATCGCACCGAAGGGATGCGGGTCCGGCGCTGCGGCAGGGGGCTTTAGGCTCAGGGTCAACAGCAGCAAACGCAGCGAAAGGCAACGTTCGAAGGGCGGACAGGTGGAAGTCGGCCACCTCCGGAGTGGGGTGAGAGGTTTGGGAGTCAGCATCGCCTACGTGGTCTTCCTGCACAGGGTCCAACTCGGCCAGCCTTACACCATCCAACTCCGGTCCTAAGATCTCTACCGAAGCGCCTGCAGCAGGGGACAACAGATCATCCGGAATCGAATCGTCCACGTCGACCTCTACCGGGTTCGCAACGGGCAACCGGGACAAAGCATCGGGCACTACGTTCTCTACCCCCGCCTTCCATTCCAGCTCCATGTCGTACTCCATCAGCCGCAGCGCCCACCTGTGCAGCTTGAGGCAGAGTTCACGGCCTCGGAACAACCATGTGAGGGCAGAACAGTCTGTCACAAGTTTGAACCGTCTACCCGCTAGTTACGGCCGGAAGTGGTCTACCGCCCACAGGGCCCCCATGCATTCCCGTTCCGTGGGCCCCCGTCTAGCGTCGGTTTGTGAAAACCGGTGGCTTGCGAACGCCACCGCTCTGGTGACACCGTCGATTGTCTGCATGAGCGAAGCTCCTACACGTAGCGTGCTAGCATCCGTGTGTAGTTCGAACGGACGCTCAAGGTCAGGGTAAGCGAGAACCTTCGGGGAAGCCAACGTTTCTCGTAAAGACTGGAAGGCAACTTCCTCAGCTGCTGACCAAGGGATAGGAAGCTTGCGTTCACGTTTCGAAGCGAAGGCAACAGGATGTTGGTGAGCGGAGCGGCAGTCAAGCTGTAGTTGGGTACAAACTGACGCAAGTAGCCGGAGAGACCCAAAAATGTGCGCAGCTCTTTTACGGTGAGTGGGCGAGGCATGCGTGCGATTGTATCTAGCTTAGACGGAGCAGGGTACAGGTCCGTGCTTTCAATGATCATGCCGAGGAACTCCTGCGACGCTGCGCCAAAAATGCATTTCGCGAAGTTCACGGACCGCCCCGCAGCCAGAAGGCGGTTCAGAACGAGCGTCAGAGTGACGAGATGTTCTTCCCATGTGTCGCTAGCGATGAGAATGTCATCAAGCCAACTAAACACGCCCGATAGATGCTCCAAGGCCGAAACCCGCGCGAGTAAATTCCCAAAGCATTCCATCCGCATCTCGAAAGGTCGTCTTGTAACGGTCTTTCTCGGCGGTTTCCATCTGGTGAAAACCGGAGGCGAGGTCTAGCTGAGAGAGATACTTCTTGCCCTTCAACCCGTCGAATATCGTCTGCATGTCACCAAAACCCCCACTATCCGAGACCAAGAGTTTGTTGAGTTCGCGCCAGTCGATGCACAGTCGCAGCGTATCATCCTTCTTCTTAACGCACAAGCACTGGGCAGCCCACGGAGACATGGATTGACGGATCACTCCTCGGTCTTCCAACTGCTGATTCTCTGCCCTGATGATGCGTCGTTCTTCCGGAGAGAAAAGCCGTTGCTTGGCTGCGAAAGGTGTGCAAAACTCGTTGATCAGAAGAAGCTCAAGCTCACCGTTGATGCAAGCCGGCACTCGCTTCGGGTCGATCGGAAACAGGCCGTCCTCGATGAACGCTGCGAGGACGTTGCCGAGTTGCTGCTGCTTGAGCGACCCCAGCGTCCCCAGGTTGGCGTCCTCTACGCGAACACGTGGGATGGATTCCCCATCAGGTGGGGACGGGCTCGGGGCGCGCGGTTCACGGGGAGGCAGGAGTGGGTGTACAGCAGAGGGGGCGGCGTCAAACAGCGAATCGAAAGCCGGCTTGTCGCGAACATTGAGTGCTACCATGTGAGCTATCACCCGGCTACCCTCGACTACCACCTTCTCCTTACTACGGTTTACCAACTTGCAGTAAACAGGCAACCCCGGAACCCATCACATTACCGCACGAGCTACTCCCACTACAGCTCCCTGCTCTAAATCAAGCCGCTCGGTCGGCAAGACCATCACTAGCTGCCTGTCCTGCGGTTGTGGCCCCACAGCCGTAGCTTCCACCGCGCGAGTGGTGAAACCCTCGACGACGGCGGTCTCCGGAACTTGTCGCACGTCCCACTCGAAGGAGGTGTCGTCCTCCCACACCACGTCCTCGTAGCTGGGTACATCTGTGGGAACGGCGGGCACTTCGGGGGCGTTCTCGAGGGGAGCCGTTAGTATACTAAACTGGTCCCGAGCGTTTCGGAGGGGGCTTGCAGCATTGGAGGCGTATGGTGCAATCGACAGAAGAGGCACCCAGGGTGGTGCTGGTACAGGCCTAAAGCCTCTGCTGGAGCTGAAATCGAGCACGCTAGCATTCCGCCTAAAGAAGTCTGCTCCCACAATGAACCCGTATGGCAACCCGTCTACCACGTGTACCTCTACGTCTCTTACTCGCGCATCGCTGTCAAACAACACCGGCAGTGCTACGGATCCTAGAATACGCATCGGAGGGGTATCTATGTCGCGAGGGTTAGCAGCTTCGAGGGCCCCTGCCCTACTCTCGTCAAGACGTCGTCGAATGAGTCGCTTGAGCCCACGCCACAAGGAAAGAGATATGTAGCTGCCGCCTCCTGTACCGGCGTCTAACAGAATCTCAACCTTACGCGGTCTACGGCGCCGATGCCGATGCCAAATCTGCCCTGCTACCCACAACTGGTCTCTGCTGTCCTGCTCCTCACCCGGTGAGGGGTCCACCGCTGCCACCGGGTTCCCCAGGCTTGCGTCCGCGTCGCCTGGGGCGCACCTTCAGGAAGAGCCGGTGAACACTGCTGGAGCGGCGCCGTCGTCGGCCTGCTCGTCGTCGCTCCCCTCCGACAAGATCCCGAACTCGCACATCAAGCTGTACTGGCCTGGTGATAGCGATGCCACGAGATGCTTGCCTCGGCCAGCCCCTTGCCGCGATGAGACCTCCTTGTACAGGGCCGGTGGGACCAGCTCTTTGTTCCACCTGCACGGGGAGCGCCGGCAGGTGCCCAAGAAGGCATGGTGGTAGCACACGTCGTGCGAGCGCAAGTAGTCGATGATCTCGATCCGAGACGCAGACGGTGGCGGTCGGGTGTCGTTCGGCGTGGAGGTGGTCAGAGCAGGGGCTGGTGCGGCACCCGCGGCCGGTGCAGAGGGGGCCGGGCGGTGCGTGGACGAACGGGCTTCGAACGGCACTCCATGCCCCCCGGGAGCCGTGGCGGTCTGGTTCTGATACGCCGCGACCTGTGGTGCTACGGGCGGTGTTGGTGCGGGGGAGGGCGCTTGAGCAGAGAAAGGTTGAGTCAGCAGGGGGAGTGGCAACGCCGAGGGCGCGCCGGTCCCCGAGTTAGCAAACAGCGACCGTGCCTGTGAAAAGACGATCGGGACCCGCTACCTTTGCATGTTTACGCGGCGCCGGCGGCGTGATGTACGACGCATTTCGCGCCGATAGCACGCCGACGAACTTGCGAAAGAACTTTTCCGCTGTCACACCCCGTCGTGCCATCGCTTCTTCCAAGAGGTCGTGCCACTCCATACGCAAAGGACCGAGAGAGGAAGTTGTCTCGTATGCTATCCCATGCAGTTTCGCAGATACTCCGTTTCGGTCGAACGGGGTAGGCAGCAAGACCTCGACAACCCGGTCATAAAGCTCGATTAGCGCTACCGGGGTCGCGAAACGCCAAAACAAAGCCTGTTCGGTCATGTACGGTCGTTCGGGATCGGCGCGCGTCGCACGGAATACTGATAGTATACGGGCGGCCGCTGCAGACCACCCGTCCTCCGGGGTCAACGTCAACGCCGAGAAAGCCGAACAAGCTAGCTCTGCCGCAACTCCAGTCAACGCGTGTTCTCTTACGTCCAGACGCAACCAATCGGTGGCTGTGACCTCGCGGTGAGGCTTGGTGATGACTTCGCCATTAATGAGGTACACGTGGACATGGTCAGTTTTGGCGATTTGTTGGCTAACTGGCGAGTATTCCTGAACTAGATCGGAGATAAGCTCTACGCGACGAGGGGTGAATTCATCGGCGACAGTAACGAAACGCCCGTCAACGTACACGTCTGGTTCCAACCGCATCTTACCCGACTCGACGTTGCGAAGCACACTCATAACCTTGTCTTGCAGCATGACAGCGGAGTTGGCGATGGTAAGGGGGCCGGAAGAAGGGCCGCCGTACACTGGACACGGCTGGTCTCCTGCGATCCTCTCACGCATGCGATCAATCAGCTTAGCTGCCTGGTTGGAATCGAGACCGTGCTTACCTCGACCAGAGTCGGCCCACCTCAGAGCGCGTGGGTCTCTGACTGCCGGCCATTCCTCGTAGGACGGAACCGCGCCCCCGTAGCCGCTCGGAGCCAGGGTGTGGCTACGGCGTCGAGACTGCTTGCGTGGGCGGTGGGCGTAGTCAGGGGAAATGGAACGAGGGCGGGGACGGCGGTCGCGGGGGGCCGGGCGGGATGGGTCAGGATCACTGTCCCTGTCACTGTCGCTGCTGCTGCTACCACTGCCGCTGCTACTGTCGCTAGGCGAAGGCGAAGGGCTGCGTTGGCGAGAACGTTTGTGCTTGCGGCTACGTGAGCTCTCGCTACGGGAGCCCTTGTGGCTACTAGAACGATCGGGGCGGCCGTCACTGTCGCTGCTGTTGCTACCGCTGCCGCGATCGGCCCCGCCCACGGCGGTGACCGTCCTGCCTGTCGCCGGGCTGTGCGGCAGCTCTGCGGCGACCGTCCTCGCCGAGAGCGGAAGCCTCGGCCTGCTCGATGGGACTCCGGCTCCGGCTGCGGCTCCGCTGCTGGCTGCCGTCCCGCCGAGCGGCGCGCGATCCGCCATCGTCGGCAAGGGAGCCGGGCGACGGCAACCGCCTCTCCCCATCACCCAGGTAACGCACTGGGGACGAGTTGTCCATATCGACGGAGCCGGCAGCACCCCCCGACAACACCTGTTCGTTGGAAGAGGACATCGCTGCTAGTGCGAGACAGACGAAGATCGAGTAGTGTGAGATGCAATGCAAAAGGAGTTGATTCAATGCAAGGTCAGCAAGCACGGGCAAAAACAATAATGCGAGCATGCACGACAAGGAAAAATAAGGGAACAGCAGTTGCAATGATCGCAAGGGGAAACAGTTATTGAAATAATGCCAAAAAGTGGAAATAGAGAACGAAACACTGGTTCAACTATACGATGGATGCCACCTATGCGGCAGAAAGGGAAGTGCTTGACACAGAAACAGCGAGTGTCGCGAGGCGTACATATTGAATGCAGAAAAGCAACAAAATAATCACGAAACAGTAGGGTGCTCCCTGCGCGCCATAGAAACGATGGGCTCAGGCAACAGCAGTAGGTGGGATAATGCGGTCGAACAAAGAGAGAGGTGTCTGTATTTTATATACAGAGCGAGTAGTATTTCGATGCATTTATGGGAACGAGAGTCCTATGCTTCGTACGGCATACCCACCCAACTGGAAAAATAAAATTACTACACATAGACTAAATAAATCAAAATTAAACGAACCGCAAGCGGGCAGAACTCTAGACGGCTTTAATCGAGGTATGATCGAGCGTCAGGCGCCGCGTTATCAGAACGCAGGGTGGGAAGGAGAGGTTACATACGAGAGGCCCTACACACACCAAAATAGCTCTCTGGAACCACAGTGGTCAACAGGTCACTGCCAAATGTGAGGCTAGTCCAGGGAGGAGAGGTCACGATGATGATCCTAAACATGCACAAGGTTCAAACACTAGCATGCAGCTCCACTCGGGGTCTTCGGTCTTACACACTTCTTCACACCATCATCATCGTTTCTGGCTGCCGCACGGGTGAGTGTGCTGCTGTGGAGCCGCAAGTGCGAGAGACACCACCCATCAATGAAGACTCAATCAATCAATCCGATCAACCTGGTGGTTCAGCTGTCGAGTGGCAACCAGCTTTCCATGCGGGTACAGAAACAGCTATTGCGGTGGCGCCAAAGGGCAGAGGAAAAATACAAGAAAAGCGAGCTCTCCACCTTCCCCTACAAACGTATACAGAGGCGCATGGATGCATAGTCTACACATGTCAGCCATGAACAGTGGAAAAATGCGCGCCAAAAAAAAAACACAGGAACCACGAGTACTCTAGGCCAGGGTATAATGGGTGTGTGCGCGTTCGGCGGACGGCTGCAGCGCAGGGGATTACAAGGCACAAGCAAAGAGTGTATTGACGCCGAAGCGCACTGATTGAGACAAGCCGCAGGCCGTGGAAAGGCGAGCGCATGACAGAATGAAAGGGAAAAAACGCCAAACGTGCCAGCTAGAGGAAAAAATCAGAGAGGCGCGAAAGGGCCTACAAGCCACACGGCTACAGCATGACGAGCGCATCTACGGCTGGTCGACAGCAACGACACGGAAGGACACCATAAAACGGAAGGAGAGGCTAGGGATAGGGGCGGGTTCTATGTCTGTGCGGGTCTGTGTGGTCTCTAGCCATTCAAGTGGCAGGACCCTGGGTGTCGAGAGGAATTGTCCAAAGAGGAATGTACATGGGACCCCAGCCTATAAGCACTGCTACCGACCTGATGTTAGCAGCCTCTCGACCGGTACCGAGTTCAGTAGATGAGCCGGAACAGCCGTAGTATGAGCCTCGAAGGTGGCTTGTGAGAAGGAGTATGAGGTCTCCGGTCGTGGATACGGTATTCGCTTGTTGATTATTGCTAACTCAGGGCAAGCAAGGAGAAGAGAAGTGAAGGCAAGGGGACTGAGCAACCTAGCCTCTAGACGGGGCCCGGAGCACCCAAAGTGTTGAGGAAGATCTCCGTTTCAAGGGGAATAATGTGCGCAAAGCAAGGGGTCATCCGCCGAATATTCTATATTTAAACCCTGCGAAAGGCCACTTGGTTTGGAGCGTTGTTGACTGACCGCTATAGCGAACACTACCATTGTAAGTGCTTGGACCCTCAACCGGACACCTTTGATGTCCGCGTACATCGCCCCCCCCTCCCCTCCCTCCCCCCCCTCCCTCATTCAGCATTTTTTCACCAGACCCTTGTCTTCCTAGGTTCGCAGAAGCGCGGAAGAGCGTACTGCCGAATCATATGCCCCCCCCTCTACCCCCCCCCGGTGTTTGCCACCGGGGTTGGGTTTTCGTCGCTTGGCAACGCAGTTGTAAAACAAGCCAATTCACTTCGTGAAGTCGGCAACCAGGTTACCGTTTCTTTTTTTTACCTCTTTTTTTTTTGGCGGTAACCATACTGGTGGTCGAGTAGATCATGTTGTNCCAGACTACACGTACTGCAATCAACGCCAACAACGTATAAATAGCGGACACCCCTCGCGGTTCACGTTCAATTCGCCTTCGTTCCGGGATCTGGAAAAACTTCCGAACGTCCAGAGTACAAAAATACAAACTGGGTGGAGTTCTCGTGCAACGTTCCATGCCGGCGGACGAAAAAGAAACCACCTTTGATCCTATCAAGTACTGATACTCATGATTTACGTGAAGCCGGTACTCCCTCGTAATGACCAAAAAGTGCACGATTCGTACAACCAGTTGGTTTGGCCTTGCCCATCCAAGCACACACACTCATAATTCAATTGAAACCAGAATGCCAACCAAAAACTGGTTCGGTGTTTGCCCATTACCCTCACTTCGAGTTTTCCAACCCAAACATTCTCCTCGAGGCACGTTTGTTGCCAATCCGCCTGAGTGAACTCGCCCCCCTCCCTTCTAACTCCTCCGTCGCCTCTGCAAGGTACACGTAATGCTCAGCTATAGATATATCGGGCTTCAGGACACTAAACCAAATACAAAACTGCTGCTCCAGCTACTGCTGGTAATACAAATATCAGACATGTTATTGCTGTTCACTCTCCCTCCCCCCCTCGCCTCTGTTCCGTCCTCTCGAGGACGCGTGGTCGGTGGTCTACGAAACAAGGCATGCAAAACATGAGCACGCCCCGCCCCCGCCCCCCCGCACGCTTGTCATTGACCAAGGTGCACTTGTTCGTTCACGGCAAGAGGAGCACTCTGAACGCGCAGTATCCGTGCGTCTTCACGAAACAAACACCGCAAACACCATTCTTCCCCTTCCCCCGCGCGCCTGATCCGTCTCTCACAAGGGATGCAGGCATCGTCAAGGCCAAACACCAAAGGCAATCAACAAGCACGTACCCTCACCCCCACCCCCACCCCCCATGAGCCCCCCACCTTTGCGAGTTATGCATTGCATTGCAAAAATCCCTCGTCGCTCAAACGTCAGGATGTACGTTCAAGACGCATGTTCACGCCTTTATTGTTCTCTTCCTCTCGCGCCGGCGGTCGCGGCGGCCAACATTGCGGTGCAGTCATCTCACAGCTGTCTCGAAAATGGTCATCGCTGTCCCAGCGTGAAACATTACGT